GTCATCAGTGTTGACCTGTGTCACCCTGTGTTGACCCGTGTCACTTTGTGGTGACCCACATCACTCTGTGGTGACCCATGCCACTCTGTGGTGACCCATGTTGATCACGTATTGACCTGTGTTGACCCGTGTCACTCCACACCAATCCACGTTGACATGTTGCTCCGTGTTCCTCCATGTTGACATGCGTTGCTCCACGTCATCAGTGTTGACCTGTGTCACCCTGCATTGCCCCGTGTCACTCTGTGGTGACCCAGAGCACTCTGTGGTGACCCATGTTGATCACGTGTTGACCTGTGTTGACCCGTGTCACTCCACGCAATCCATGTTGACACATTGCTCCGTGTTGCTCCATGTTGACACGCGTTGCTCCACGTCATCAGTGTTGACCTGTGTCACCCTGCATTGACCCGTGTCACTCTGTGGTGACCCACATCACTCTGTGGTGACCCATGTTGATCACGTGTTGACCTGTGTTGACCCGTGTCACTCCACGCAATCCATGTTGACACATTGCTCCGTGTTGCTCCATGTTGACACGCGTTGCTCCACGTCATCAGTGTTGACCTGTGTCACCCTGCATTGACCCGTGTCACTCTGTGGTGACCCACATCAGTCTGTGGTGGCCCATGCTGATCACGTGTTGATCCATGTTTGTTGCCCCATATTGACCCATGTTAACCCGTGTTGCTGTTGATCCCCGTTGACCCATGTTGACCTGTGTAGATCCATGTTGACCCCTGTTGATCTGTGTTGCCCCATGTCACTCTGTGTTGCTCCATTTTGACCCATGTAGACCTGTGTTGATCCATGATGTCCCATGTCATTCTGTGTTCACCCATGTTGACCTGTGTTGCTCCATTTTGACCCAGGTTGATCTGCTGACCCATGTTGACCTGTGTTGACCCATGTTGATCCATGTTCACCTGTGGATCCATGCTGACCCATGTTGATCTGTGTTGCTCCACATTGACCTGTGTTGATCTGCTGACCCATGTTGATCCATGTTCACCTGTGCAACCATGTTGACCCATGTTGATCTGTTGACCCATGCTGCTCCGTGTTGCTCCATTTTGACCCACATTGATCTGCTGACCCATGTCAACCTGTGTTGATCCATGTTAATCCATGTTCACCTGGGGAACCATGTTGACCCACGGTGATCTGTGTTGACCCACGCTGATCTGTGTTGTCCTGTGTTGGTCCCTGTTCACCCATGTCGCTCCATGTTACCCATGTTGACCCACGACGACCTATGTTGATCCATGTTGACCTATGTTGATCCATGTTGACCTGTGTTGACCCTCATCGATGCACGTTACCCTTTTGACCCATGGTGATCCATCGACTTGTGTCGATCTATGTTGACTCATGTTGAGCCATGTCACTCCGTGTTGACCTGTGTTGACCCATTAACTTGTGTTGCTCCATGTTGATCCACATTGACCTGTATTGATCCGTGTTGACCCCTGTCAACCTGTGTTGCTTCCATGTTGATCCATGTGGACCTGTATTGATCCATGTTGACCCACGTTGATCCGTGTTGACCCACGCTGATCCGTGTTGACCCACATTGATCCGTGTTGACCCACGCTGATCCGTGTTGACCCACATCGATCCGTGTTGACCCACGTTGATTCACGTTGACCCATATCGATCCAAGTTGACCCACGTTGATCCGTGTTGACCCACGCTGATCCGTGTTGACCCACATTGATCCGTGTTGACCCATATCGATCCGTGTTGACCCATATCGATCCAAGTTGACCCACGTTGATCCATGTTGACCCGTATCGATTCATGTTGACCCGTATTGATCCATGTTGACCCATATTGATCCATATTGACCTACATTGATCCGTGTTGACCCACGTTGATCCATGTTGACCCACGTTGATTCACGTTGACCCATATCGATCCATGTTGACCCATATTGATCCACGTTGACCCGTGTTGACCCACATTGATCCATGTTGACCCATGTTGATCTGTGTTGACCCATATCGATCCATGTTGACCCACGTTGATCCATGTTGACCCGTATCGATCCGTGTTGACCCATATTGATCCAAGTTGACCCACGGTTGTCTCTCTGTAGGCGAGAAGCCCCACCAGTGCTCCATCTGCTGGCGCTCCTTCTCACTCCGTGACTACCTGCTGAAGCACATGGTGACCCACACGGGCGTCCGCGCCTTCCAGTGCGGCGTCTGCTGCAAACGCTTCACCCAGAAGAGCTCCCTCAACGTCCACATGCGCACCCACCGCCCCGAGCGCTTCCAGTGCCGCCTCTGCACCAAGGGCTTCTCCCACCGCACCCTCCTCGAACGCCACGCCGCTGCAACCCACCCCGTGCCACCGCCGGGGCCACCGCCAGGGCCACCGCCGCCACCTGAAGCCGGGCTGGCAACGTGGCCAGGTGCCGAGGCTGCGGGTGCTGGCCCCGCTCACACGGCATGAGGGTGCCCCAGGGGGGGATCTCTGTCACCCCCAAACTGCCTCAGGGGTGGGTTTTGGGGCTCCCCCGTGCCCGTGGATGAGCTCCTGGGGCTGTTTGAGCACCGCGGGGTGAAACCTGGAGGACTTTGACCCCACCCCAGACATGGATTTCATGCCCTGGACGTACAGACAGAGGGAGATGGGGTCCATCCTGCTCATCCCCTCCTGGTGATGTGGTTTCTGTCTCCCCAAACCACGGCAGTGGGGGCGGTTAAACAGACTTGGTGGCACCGGCGGGTGGTGAAAATCAACACGCGGGTTTTAAGGACCGTTTTAGTGCCATTATTGCGATTTTTTTTTCCCTAAAAATTGCCCCCCTCCTCACTGCTTGCCCACGTGACATCTCACCTACTGAATGGTGGGTGCTAACCGTGGGCACGTGGCCACCACAGAAGGGCAATGGTAGGCGTTGGCCATGTCATGGGACCTCCCCAAGTCTTTGTGATGACAACAGGTGCCAACGGGACCAAACTGTGTCCCCGTGGCCACCATGGAAGGGCTGTGGTAGCTGTTGGCCACGTCATGGAACCTCCCCAAGTCTTTGTGATGACAACGGGTGCCAACAGGACCAAACTACAACCCCATGGCCACCACAGACGAGCTGTAGTAGCCATTGGACCCTGTCACGGGTCCTCCCCAAGTCTTTGCGTCCACCTTCAGCCCCAATGCCATCTCTTTTTGCCCACGTGGCTTCTCCACGAGCCAGTGGGAGGCACCAGTGGGGCAAACCCACATCCCCGTTGGCCACATCATGGGCCCTCCCCAAGTCTTTGTGTTGACAATGGGCACCGGTAGGGCCAAACCACATCCCCGTGGCTACCACATAAGAGCTGTAGTAGCCATTGGCTGTGTCATGGACCCTTCCCAAGTCTTTGCATTGCTGACAGACACCAAAAAGGCCAAACCACATCCCCATGGCTACCACAGAAGGGCTGTGGTAGCCGTTGGCCACATCATGAGTCCTCCCCAAGTCTCTGTGTCCACGTTTGTCCCCAGTCCTGTGGCTTTTTGCCTACACGGGTTCCCCACAAGCCAACAATGGGCATTAATGGACCCAAACCATGTCCCTGTGGCCACTACGGAAGGGCCATAGAGTCGCTGGCCACATCATGGGTCCTCCCCAAGGCTTTACATTGATGGTGAGCACCAATGGGGCCAAACCATGTCCCCGTGGCCACCACTGGCCATGTCGTGGCTCCTCCTGAAGTCTGTGTTGATGGTGGGTGCCGATAGGGCCAAACCATGGTCACGTGGCCACCACAGAACAGCTGTAATAGCCACTGGCCACATCCTGGATCTTCCTGAAGTCTTTGTATTGATGATGGGCGCCAACGAGGCCAAACCACGTCTCCATGGCCACCACAGAAGGGCTGTAGCAGCCATTGACCGCGTCACGGATCCTCCATGAATCCTTCTGTTGACGACGGGCACCGGCAGGTCAAACCACGTCCTCGTGGTCACCACAGAAGCACCATCATCTGCTCCACCACCTCCTCCCCTTCCCTTGGGGAGCCCCTCAGAGCCCCCGATGCACCGCCAGTACCGGACCGGGTCCCCGCTCAGCTGCGTGGAGGCGGCGGTGGCGAGCGAGGTGGGAGCCGCGGCTGAAGGTCTTGGGGCAATCGGGACAGCGGTAGGGCTTCTCGCCGGTGTGGGTGCGCTGGTGCTCGAGCAGACGGGCGCTCTCGCCGAAGCATTTGCCGCACTGGCTGCACTGGAAGGGCTTCTGGCCGCTGTGGAGACGGCGATGCTGGCTGAGGTTGGAGCTCCAGCCGAAACGTTTGCCGCAAGCGCCACACTCGTAGGGTTTCTCGCCGGTGTGGGTGCGCTGGTGCTGCAGGAGGTTGGAGTTCTGGGTGAAGCTCTTGGCGCAGGCGCCGCACTTGTAGGGTTTCTCGCCCGTGTGGGTGCCCAGGTGCCGCATCAGGTGCGAGCTCTGCCCGAAGGCCTTGCCGCATTCGGTGCACTTGTAGGGTTTCCGGGTACTCGGGGGGGGCGTGGGGGGCAGCCCCCAGGGCCAGCCCAGGGCGGGTGACGGGGGCAGCGGCGGTGATGTCACCAGGCTCTCAGGGGTGTCCATCTCTGGGGACTTCGCGGTGCCTGTGGGGACACGGAGGTGGGCGTCACCGTGGGGATCCCTAATTGCCCTCCCTGAGCTTCTTAATTGCCCTCAGTATCCCAAATTGATCCCTGGAATTCCCAAATCACCTCAGATCTCCCAAATCACCCCTCGATCTGCCTCGCTGCCCCCCCCGGATCTCCCAAATTGCCTCCCAAGCCCCCTCAGACCCAGGTCTCATTTGGAGATGGCCAGGAGGACCACGGAGGTCGGGGATGGACCTGGGTTGGGGTTGGGTTGGAGCAAGGTCCCGTGTCCCTCCCCACCCTGGTGGGATGGAGCTGGGGAAGAGACCCAGGGAGGTGGTGGGTCTCCATCCTTGGAGGTCCTCAGACTTCACTGGGAGGAGCCGTGAGGAACCTGGAGGAGACGGACCTGCTTTGGTCAGCGCTGGACCCCTCCGCTGTCCCATGATGCTTTGCCCTGTCCCCCTGCACCCCCTCCCGGGCAGGGCTCACCTCTGTGGGTGTCGGGGACCGTGTCCCAGTCGCCGGGTGGCTCCTCTGGCTGCTCCATGGGCTGCAGGGAGACAC